TCCGGGTACCTAGAAGGAGGAGGAGGGCACGGTCTGTCGGATCGTCAATATGGCTTCAGAGAGGGACGATCGACTGTAGACGCGATCAAGTGTCTAAAGTCTCTCTCTGACCATATAGTGGGGGAGGGAGAAGTAGTGCTGGCGGTTGCGCTAGACATAGTAAACGCCTTCAACTCCCTCCCCTATTCAGAGATTAGGAGAGCCCTGGAGGACATGGGGGTCCCTGATTACCTCAAAAGGATAATCAGGGACTACCTGAGGGGGCGCAAGATCTCCTGTAGGGATAGGGAAGGAGAGTGCAGAGAGTGAAGAGCGGAATGCGGCGTCCCGCAGGGATCGGTGTTAGGGCCGATCCTGTGGGACGTCGCATACAATAGGGTCCTAGATGCGGCCCTTCCCGCTGGCTGCACCACCATCTGCTATGCAGATGACACCCTCCCTGGCAAAAATAAAACGTTTCATAAGTGCTTGTATATAGCGTTTGCAGGAGTTCGTTGAGAGTTTAGAAACAGTCGATAGAGAATTTGTAGAGCGGAAATTGCAACGCTGCGGCGTTTAGAAGACGTTTGTATATAGCATTTTTAAACTTAGCGTTGTAGAACTTTTATGAAACGTTATACACAGTATTTTATAAGCGTTCTGAAAGCGTTTAAAATACAACGGCGTTGTGTAAGCATTCTCATAAAGTTTGAAAGCGTATGAACTTTTAAAAAACCTTCATTTAACAGTTATCAACGCTTTATAAAGCTTGTCATTTTCGCCAGGGCTGGTGGTGGCCAGCGGGGAGGGATGGGAAGATGCAACCCGAATGGCAAACATGGCCATAGCCTGCGTGGCAAGGGCAATTAAGGCCCTTGGCCTCAAGGTGGCAGCGGCAAAAACGGAGGCCGTATTCATCCACGACGGCTCTCTAGGAAAGCCGCCGGCATCGTGGATCGAGGTGGAGGACGCCCGTGTCCAGGTGGGGGCCCAGATAAAATATCTGGGCCTCCACGTTGACGGCAATTGCGAACCTCCTCGAACGGTGGAGGTTCGAGGAGCACCTCAACCGGCTGACGCCCAGGTTGGATAAGGCAGCGAGCGCCTTGTCGCGCCTGATGCCTAACCTGGGCGGTCCGCGTGAGAAAGTTAGGAGGCTCTACGCCAATGTTGTGAGCTCGATAGCGCTGTATGGAGCCCCAATATGGTCGGTCGCCCTGTCGAAGAACAGGAAAGCCATCGCGGTGCTGAGTAAAACTCAGCGCCGCATGGCGATCAGGGCGGTCAGGGGCTACAGAACCATTTCCCACGCGGCAGCCACGTTGATGGCCGGGATGCCCCCAATCGAGATGAACGCCCGTGCCCACGCTCGAGTTTACGAGCAGGTGGCGGAGCAAAAGGCAAGGGGCATCCCGGTGCCCAAGAGGGGGAGGAGGCTCCTCAGCCTCCGCATCAAAGAGGAAGTGAGGGAGGAGTGGCGAACATGGCTTGCCGACCCGAGGCGTGCAGGCCAGAGGACGATACAGGCCATCCTCCCTCACTTAGACGAGTGGGTAGAACGCTCATGGACACGGGCGTCCTATAGAACAACGCAGGTGCTCACCGGGCATGGGTGCTTTGGTGAGTACCTGCGGAGAATACAGAAAGAACCCGATCCACGGTGCCATCATTG